ATTTAGAGACCCAAAATTTTGTTGTTGTTTTTATTTTTGAATAGTATGTAAAGATCATTATACCCTTATTTTTTGACTTTATTCATTGAACTTCCTAATTTACCCTTAATTTATCCACTTGCATTGTACTTTTTTCACTTTCTCTCTCTAACTTTTGTCTATTATTGTACTTTTTATTTTTTTCCCTTAAATTATCCACTTACCTTGTACTTTTGTCTAACTTTTATTTAGCTTTTTTCCACTTCTCCTCTCATTTCTTAAATACCGTGAAAAAACATAGTAGGAACTATATTATGGGACGGAGGGAGTATAAGATATGGTTTTGTCAGATCGCAAGAAATGTGATTGACATGTATGAAGCATAGATCTCAAGAAAATTTTATCCATTTGAATTATTAGGGTCTTTTAGGGTAAGGCACACTGATTTTGGGTTGTCTCCATTATTTCAGCAACATTCATAGACTTTTAGTTGTATGTTAGAAAATACCTTGCACAACACAAAACATCATCACCAACTTCTCTTGTTTTATCAAAAGTCCCATCGCATGTTTAAATGTATATTGGTAAGCCTTATATGCGTTGTCCTCACTCGTTGTAATAACATAAAGGTAAATATCGTTAATAACCTTAATTGGTATTGTGTAACGGCTTCTTATGCCAATAGTAACTTATGTTACTTTACTGTCCTTTCGTTTGTTGTAAACTCAGTTTAATTAATGTAATTTCAGCTGTTTTTTTTTAAATAAAAAAAATCTAAAAAACTTACAAAGAATTGATACAAGCTTTGGTGTATGGAAATATTAAAAACTAGGTTAGGTCTCGTGCCATGCACGACAATTTTAAAATATTAATATCAACTTTTCAATATAATTGGTTATTTTACAACAATAAAACAAAAAATCTAAAAACACCATGGACAATCTTTGATTAAAATATGAAAGATAAGTGGATACATCTAATAAGTATAAATTGAATAATTTGATATTCTTAAATACAAATTAATAAAATCGTCTATTAAGTAATTGAAATATTGATGTGTAGATATTGTATTCAAATATATAATTATATATAGTATCAACATGTTTTGGATGAGGGCAATAAATAATACTGTAATATTGATCTTCATGAGATTTTTGTGTGTGTTTTTATTAATATTATGAAGTATAGTCTAACTAATTTTTAAATATTAAGGTAGTAAATAGTAATGTTTCTATAAATAAAATAAAATAATTTAATACAGTAACTCATTTTCACTTAGAGAAGGGAAAGAGCGGGGTTATTATCATTCAAGGGGTAGTAAAAGTATATGCACTACTCTATTGTGAATTCTAATCAATAAATAAACAACTTTAGGGGAAATAAAATATATATGTATATACTCTCGTGTAGTAAATCATTATATGTCACAAATCATATTAATATTTTCTATTATAGTCATAAATGTTTGTGTGAAAAGGTAAATCAAATCTTTTATATTTAAAGTAATTACCTTTGTTATTAACATATATAATAAATTATTTTCGTATAAGATATTATTCTATGATTGATTTATTTTTTTCAAAAAAAAAAAAAAAAAATTAAGGACACACCAAGAAATAATACGTGTCATTGCTGATATGTCTTTTAGTACATATTATTATTATTATTATTATTATTATTATTATTTAGTACATATGTTGTCGTTGTCCGGGCCTTTCGCGATGGGTTGAATTCTGCTATTCTAATCCAGCTAGATTGTATTATGGGGACCACACCTTATGGTTGTCTCGGGGGTGCAGCAGGGTGATCCCCTTGGTCCTCTTCTTTTTGCTTTGGTTTTATAACCCTTGGTGTGTAAAATCAGGGACAATTTTGATATGTCTTCAGGTTTGGTATTTGGATGACGGCACTATTATTGGTGACACGTTGGTGGTGGGGAAGGTTCTGCAGTTGATTATGGAGGAAGGGCCTCGTTTTGGGTTACATCTTAACGTGGAAAAAACTGAAGTTTTCTGGCCTACAACAGACCCTCGAAGCAAGCTTGTGGGTGTCTTTCCACCTAATATTGCTCGACCTTTGCGTGGTGTTAAGTTGCTTGGTGGTCCCGCTAGTTCTGATTCCGGTTTTAGTGGTGAGCTTGTGATGCAGAGGGTGACCAAGACCATTGCGCTTATGGATAAGGTTGTCATGCTTGACGATCCTCAGTGTGAGCTATTGTTACTTAGGGCTTGTACCGGAGTTTCTAAACTCTACTTTGCATTGCGTACTTGTCCCCCTAGTACTTGTGAGGTGGCTCAATGTACATTCGATGGGGCTCTTCGATCTTCTTTGGAGCGTATTGTTACTGCTTCGGGGCCTGGGTTTGGCGATTGGCAATGGCGGCTTGCTACCTTACCATTTGCGTTTGGAGGGCTTGGGGTATATTCCGCAGGTGATGTTCGTCATTATGCTTTTCTTGCTTCTCGGTTACAGTCTGCTGGGTTGCAAACACAGCTTCTACGACATGCTGGCATTGTTAATCTTGGATGAGCCTTTGAAGATGCGTTGAGTCTGTTTAATGGAATAGTGGAGTCTAACATTATGAGTAATCCTAGTGAGGTCGCTGCCCCTAAACTCATGAAGAAATTGGCAGATATATATTTCACAAAGGTTACCGCTTCTGCAGAATCCGCCTATTCTTTGTCTCCTCGGCAATCAGCATTGTGGAAATCGCAGCAGGGAGATCACACCTCTTCTTGGCTTCAGGCAGTCCCTATTTCTGGGTCGGGTCAGACGATGAACGTAAAGACCTACCGATGTGTGTTGTGCTACAGGATGGGTGTTCCATTGTTCTCTATCTCGACGCCGTGCTCTGCTTGTTCTCGGGTTTTTACTGGGGATATTTCCGGTGATCACGCGGTGTCGTGTGCTGGTATTGTGGGTATTAAACATCCGCATAATGTTGTCCGGGATACCCTTGTTGATATCTGCTACAGATATGGGATTTCAGCAAGAAAGGAGGTTGACATAGGGTTGTCTGGAGGGAATGACGGGCCCCTCAGACCTGCTGATGTGTTACTTTATTCCTGGGATCGTGGTTGCGATGTTTGTGTGGACTTAACAGGGTCTTCTCCTTTGACACAGACAGGGCTATCTGACTTTGTTCCTGGACGGGTTGTGGCTGATGCGGCTCATCGGAAGCGGGTGAAGTATGAAGCTAGTTGTCAGCTGATTAGATATGGTTTCATTCCCTTCTCCTTTTCTTCGCTTGGGAAATTAGAGAAGGAGGCTGTTGTGTTGCTGAAACGAGTTCAGAGGTTCTCGACGACACAGGACATTGGGGCTCGTGCTGCATCTCATATCTTCACTAGGGTAGGCTTTGCTATAACTAGAGGAGTGGGGGCCCAGATTGTATCTCGGCTTCCCACTAATTTATTGTAAGTTGTATGACTTTGTCTGTTTTTGAGATAATAATAATAATAATTATTATTATTATTACTATTATTATTATTATTATTATTGTTATTTAAAACATATTTACTTAAAAACCTTTACAAAGCCCACCTGTCCCATAATTAGACGATCATACAAAGATCCACTCCATTTATTTATCAGACCCATTTTATAACTATGGCGGGTCATGGCTTTTAAAGGCCTCCATTCCTATTTCCTACCCCTAGGAGTTATTTCATTGAAGCGCACTCAACGTTCTCCATTGAAGCGTTCTCCGTTGAATCTAATTCTTGTATCCCCCATTGAAGCAGCTTCTAAGGTGAGTTGTTTGCTGTTGTTATCATCACATCAATTTCACAATCTAGGGTTTATATTTGATCTAATCTAATTTAATTATCAGTGCTTTAAGTTTAGGGTTCGTAAATTCTTAGATTATGAAACATCATATCCAAAAGAAAAGAAAATAAAATTATGAGCGTAATTTGGTTATTGAATCAAATATCCCTAAAATTATGTATTTTTCGAGATAATTCAATATGAAATTAAATCTCTTTTCCCTGGGCCTAGGGCGGCCGCCCCTCCTGCCCTGCCTCAAGGACAGGCCTGAGTTTTTAGATGATTACGTGGTGTTTGAATGTGTGATGAACTTTAGCTATCAATTTTGGGTTTTGGGGTGACTATTGAAAAAATGGTTGAAATTGGGGAAGTATCTGATTTAGGGTTTCTAGAAGTAGTTCATTTGTTGAGGACTTGGGGTAGATGATAGTCTGATAGACTGATTGTCGAATTGTCATTTACTCATTTGTCTGTTGAATCGTTGTCTGTTGAAGTGTTGATTGTTGATTGTTGAAGTTTTGAACACTTGAAATGTGGAATGTCTATTGTTTTAGAGTGTTTATCAGTGGAGGTTGTTCTTGAGGTAGCTAATGTACTACATTGTTCTCATGTTCTGTAATTAGTGTAATCTGTACATTGTTCTTGACTTCTTGTCATGGGTTATCGTCGATTTATTGCAGAAGTCGATTAGAAGGGGATAATCTGTACATTCACAACGGACTTCTTGTCACGGTGGCACGGCCTCGAACAATCGACCTGGTGTCTGGTGAGCTTGCCTTTCCGGTTTCCTTTAATGCCTATTGCTGGCTTGCTGTGAATTCATGTGATTGTGAATGTTGTCTTTCATTGCTGTCGAATTGTGATTTGTGAATGTTGTCGAAATTGTCTAATTGTGAATGTTGTCGAAATTGTCTAATTGACTAATTGCGAATATTGTCTTTCAGTTTTTGTCTAATTGCATTTGCTGAATTGCTGCCTAACTGCCTTGCTGCTTGACTAGTGACTTGCTGTCTTTCTATTTACGAACTAAAATGTATACCCATTCCCCAATCAGATGGTTATTGCTACAAATATGATCATGATTGCACTTCTAGAACTCCATATGATCTTACAGTTTTTCTTTCATCATGACAAGTTCTACAAAATGTATGCCCATTGCCCAATCAGATGGTCATTGCTACAAAACCCCCCATCCCTGTCTCACTCACCCACACACAATATAAAAACAAAAGGGGGCTAATATACATAACCATTATAGCTACAAATGATTCTACAAACAATTAAGCCCCACATCTATACCATTACACACTAAATATATCCTTTTCAACACAATCACCACTATTTAACCAGAGAGAAGTTCATACTCCCATCAACTAGGTTGCTAGAATTTTTTTAACGGCGAGATAACGGCAAGGTTACCGTATGGAAACAAAATGTATATTGGGGTTACAGTGTGGAAAGTGATATATGTTAGGGCACAACGTAGAAAAGTGAAATTAACAGGGTTACTATATAGAAAAACCCTTTTTTTTTTTTTTCAATTGTAGAGATCATACTTTGAAAATTCCATATATTCTAATATATCTACAGAGTAGTTAACTAATTCACCGACTTTCAGGCGTGAGGCTAGGGTTGAATCACACCAAGGTGGTGGGGGTCTCCCAATAAAGAGTGGTAAAATTATAAAATATGTATATTACCTCTTTCATGATCTGTTACCTTTTGCTTCTAATCTTTGAAAAAATGTATCTGTACTGAGTGTTTTAGTTTGATGTTCTTTCTCCGATAAACGAACTCTTGCTGAAGATAATGCCTGGTATTGTTGTTTTTCTAATTTCATATTTTAGGCTTTCAAGTATGTGAAAATGAAAGTTTAATTAAAAGTGAAAGAATAGTAAACTTTGCTCTAATTTTTGTGTTTAGTTTGGGTCAGCGACAATGCAGAAATGTCATAATCTTTTTGTTTTTTTTCTTTGTTGGGGGAGAAGGAAGGGGGGGGGGGTAATCTGACCCATACCTGTGTTCTGCTTGTGATTGTTCAGCTTTTGGTGAAGGAGTTCTGTTTTACCTCTAATATATATAAATCCTGAATTTAATCAGATCCGATGGAAGCAAAATATTTCCGAATTCTGAGGCTATTAGGAACTGGTTACAAAGCCAGAGCTGAAGCAGAAGGTCGCTTGTTGTGTCTTAAACTGGGTTACAGTCATGAAGTTGAGTTGCCAGTTCCACCCACTGTTCGTGTCTTCTGCTTTAAACCTGACATAATTTGTTGTGCTGGTATTGATAAAGCAAGAACGCATCAGTTTGCTGCTGCTGTTCGTAGTGTCAAACCCCCTGACTCGTACAAAGAAAAAGGTATGCGTTACAAGGATGAAGTCATAAAGTTGAAGCCTGGTAAGAAGGATAGATTGAAGTAAAGAGGTTTGATTTTTGTACTAGCAGTAGCAGAATGTGTATCTGCTCATTGCTAAGTTTAAAGTTTGTAGTTTGAATTTTGTATTCTGTTATAAGTATAGAACTGTTTATGATTTACGAGCATTTTTCATGATAGCAAATTGTTTATGTTGAATCTCCATGAGATGAACTTGAATAATGTCCATTGAATTTCATGTTGCATTTTTCCGGTTGATATAAAAAATCATGTACAAGATATGAGCCATACTAAGATGTTGCTAGGGACTTGCTCTTAGGTCGCACTCTATGTTTTGAAGACAGAACTGTTAAATTAATTGGATTGGATAAATCAATATCGGATCTGATGCAGATCAAATACTCAAGATTTTATAGTTTTATTAGTACCATAATAACAAATTAAAATAACGTTGAGTTAGATCTTACAACGACGCTTTAATTGCTTTCCGCTAATTAATTTTCCGAACTTATAATTTTTTTTAATTAATATTTATAATTGAGAGAATTAGAGAATTAAATATTATATGAGAATTTTTTTTTTTTTTTGAGAAGTAGATATTATAAGAGAGTAAGAATTAGAGAATAAGAGATTTGAGAATAGATGAGTTGATGAATTGTGGAGAAAAATGGAGGAAGAAGTGAAGTATTTATAGGAAAAATGATGAATTAGCCGTTAGAGTGGTTGTTGGAATATATCCGTTAATATGGCTGTTACAATATAGCCGTTTATGGCTGTTGGAAGCTGCGAAAAGTAGCCGTTATGCACGGGCCGTGCTGTGCCTGGCAGGCCACGTGTCGTGCTGGGTCGTGCCTGGCCGTGCCGCGTGTTGTGCTAGCGGGTCCGTCGTGCCTGTGTCGTGCTCGTGTCGATTTATCAAAATTTTGTTCACGGCACGGCCCACGACCCACTGCTGGGCCACCGTGCCGTGCTGTGCCTATGGCGGGCTCGTGCCGGGCCGTACCACCGTGCCGTGCTCGTGCCGCCCGCAGGCCGACACGACCCATGCCCATCTCTACCTGTTTTAATTCACATGTAGGTTACTTTCCTAACATTAACATATGTTCTAAGTTTGTAACTCACATGTAGGTGCTTCCCTCACACTTTTCAATGATTTACTTTATTCTAGTAAAAAATAAAGTGTAACAACTAACCAAATGAAGTATATTTATACTTAGTACGAAGTATTTTTAAACTCAAATCAGAAAAGATACATGTCTCTATTTTATTACAATTCTCTATTTTCATTTTAATCCAATGTGTCACATGTATTCTAACAAATATTTTTTTTTAAAATTTTTTATTACACCATCTTTCTTAACTCTTTCATTAAGCTTTTATATATATATATATATATATATATATATATATATATATATATATATATATATATATATATATATATATATATATATATATATAGCCACAATAATCCAAATCAACCATATTTCATCTCCCACGCACACTTCATCTTCATCTCCCCTATTCAAATCAACCTTTTTCTTTTCCCTCTTTAATTTTAGTCCCTCCACTTTATTTTTAATTTAAGCCTAATCTTGAATTAAAGTCCCAAAAATATTTCTTTAATCATGTTTTTGGTTACACATTAATCCCATAATGATTTATTGGTATTTTCTCACTCATCTCTCAATGCAATTTTCTACGAACAACCTGTGCATTGCACGGACCATAAGGATAGTTAATAAAATATAAGTTTCCCTATCTTATAAGCTTCAAATTATTTGCAATTAAATTGACAAGAATTAATAGTTCTCCAAGAGCTCTAATTAAGCTAATACTCGTCTATTTCTTATTAGATCTATCTTTTCAATATTAAATCAATCAATGATATCAATAACAATTTTATCACCTACTTCATATTATTCTATGGGTAATGTGCTATCAATTTAAAACATGAGTATGTAAATATGTTGCAAGATACAAAATTGTTCATCAAAGAACCTACCATGGTGCACTATAGATTTTTTCTATTGTTATAATTAATTCCCAAAAATGTTCATCATATTGTGGAATGCAAGAAGCTATTAGAAGGTGAAGAACGGCTAGTGGAGGTAATGCACATCTATCGTGAAGGCAATAGAGCATTTGATTGCCTTGTCAATCAAGGAGTTTCGCAGAACAACAAAGTAGAGTTAGTGCAGTTCCCAGCCTTAGCTATAGGTCGTATTTTACATGCATGAGGATAGAGTAGGTGTAGCATTCCCTCGGTTTGTCCCACCTTAGTTTAGTTTGGTTGTAGTTGTTTATTTTTGGAGCCTACCACTTGTTTGCATCAAAAAAAAAAAAATGTTATATGTAAATCTAAAAATCCAATCCAATTTTCAGTTTATATAATGATTTCAGTTTATGTAAAGATAACTAAATAATTTGTGATTGAGGTGGGATCTAGGGAGTCCTTACAAATTCAGCTCATGAAATTCTTACAGGAACTAATCTTCTAATTAAATTGCAGAAAAAAAAAAATTAAAAAACTGACAAACTAATTTTCCCTTTAAATGCTCCTTCTCAACAATTTTTTCTTTTATTTATTTTTTTTATTTTTTTTATAATTTTTGTACAACAATCTTCATGCTTGAACGTCAACATTTGTCATTTGGTGCAGATCTATGGCACACAGTATGGTACAATCACGTTATTTTTCCGATTTATTGAGTCTAATTAAATTCAGATTATTATTTATTAATTAATTAATGTGGGTTTCTTAACAAAACCGTCACTTTCTTTGAATAATTTTCTATAACTAACTAATTAAATCTAATGGCTTTGATCACACTCTATAGCACCTTTCCAACCCCAACATTATTATGAACTTTGTTTCTGTCCTTTCAAGTTTTCTTTCTTTCTTTTATCTTATTTTATTGTTATTACACTAATTACTAATTGAGTGCCATTATGATTTATTTCCCTTATTTGTTATGTGATTGCTTTTATTAATGTCCTACTTTGTTACCAGAATTTTCACCACAAAATTACTTATACTTTTCAAGGTGCATCATTGACTTTTTATTTTCACCACACATTTGCTTATAAGGTATTAGCAAGTGAGCATGCACTATGCATAAGGTACAACCGACTAAACATAGAATATTGATGATTATTATTACCGTTGTTCAATTCTTTGCTTTTATTTCATAATATTACATGATTCACGAGATTTTGTGGTGGTGTATCTTTATCAATATTGTCCTTCATAAGGGGAAGAGACGTGGTTGATTCATAAATAATCAATCAATTGCAGATTTGCATGGATTTGTTCAAGTACAATTACTGGTATTGTATAATAACGTTTTTTAGAATGTCATATGTTAAACAATATAGTGGTCACATGTTTAGGTATGTGATTGTATACCTTTAATTTCGTCACCTGTTCGTGAAATGCGTGACTACTTCGTCAATGTAAAAAATGTAATGTTGTAGGTGTATACTTAATTATAAGTGCAATTAAATGACATTCCTTATTTTCGAAGCCCTTACCAAACTGTGTACTAAGCAACTAACTAACAACACTACAACAGGACATAGAGAACCACCCCCCCCCCATTTGGAATATTTTATCTTGCCATTTTTTTGTGTGAAATCTTACTATTTTGTTTGACCTTCATGATTTATTATTCCTAATAAATTGCGATGTAACCTAATTAAATTTTAATCTTGTAACTTAGCTAACTTTATTACAGGGATTGGGGTGGGAGGAGAAGAATGTGTGACATAAATTAAAATGTTATACTAGATCGAATTTTTAGTCAATTCAAAGGATTTTAACGTAATTTATAATTTTCTTTTAACAATGCACCAACAAGCTTTTCAGCAAGTTATTGACTTCAAAGATTCTGAATTGGATGTTTGCCAAAATTAAAAAAACCACTATAGAAAACAATTGTGGAGTTCAAACAAACAGTTTTCCATTCTTGGACACCATATTTCTAATTTCTTCTATAATCATTTTCTTATAGTTGATTGCTTACTTCCATCAAATTGCAAATGCTTTTTTAAAAACAAATAATTATGTTGTTGCTTATCAACTTTTTTTTATACACATTGCACATATAATTTAGTACATGTAGAGTTGTAGGGTTGTAGAGTTATTGTCTTGTAGACTTGTACCCATGGAATTTATATGGAAATTCTTTGTTAGTACTCCATATTAATTTTTTTTTATCAATTTCTCTTTTAGTATTAATATTTATGAATTTATAAATAAAAAATTAAATACATAATGTCTTGTTATTTATAGTTACAAAATCCTCTTTTTTTGGTTGATTTATTGGTTAATACACAGACAATGATACATAAGATCAATATGAATATGTGATAGAGTATCTGTATGGAGTAAATCAATTTTGATTATGTAAATCTTGTATAGATATAATATCTTGTTAATCAATTTTGATTATGTAATTAGTGTTACTAGGCTAACAAGATTTACATAATCAAAACTGATTGACAAGATATTCTTCCATCACAATGGTTAATTATAGTCCAAATATGGTAATCCAAGTTAAAATAATGTCACATCAATATGAAAAGTTGTAATATTGTACTATATATGACAATATGAGTCCATGAATCCACCCCTTGTCGCAAATATTACCATCTACCATGAGTCCATGACTACCAAATGCGTTTTTATTTATATTTTATTTTATGAAAATTAAATATTAATAATTCAAATAAAATAAGTTTAGTAAAAATAAGTCTAGATACGTTTTGATAAAAATTAACAAGAGTCATCCAACTTCAACTTATAACTAAAATGACGTATAATAAGTGGATAATTATTTAATTAGTTAAGTTTGAATAAGTATATAAATCAGTTGATCGAATACAATGCATTTGTTACACATAAAAAAAAATAAAAAAAAAACTGAAACAAAGTGTATATATTACACATTTGCATCTCCTCATGTGCATACTAAGATTTCCAAGTTTGGTGTAAAAGCAATTAAAATCCACCAATTTAATAATTAGTCAAAAGGAATAATAAGAAATTCAATAAAAAAGGGTATGATGGAAACTGTGATACATAGAACATTCTGTTAATTTGTTTTGGCCCTTTACCAATAAAAGTTGCTCACTTGTCTGTTACTGAAAGGTTTTCAACGTGCTCTACTCTGAACCTACCAATTTTTGCCAGCTTTTTTCTTTTTAATATCTTACACTTCATATTTTTATTATTGGGTAGATCTTGTTTCTTGGATGGTAAAAATATTGAATGTGTGTTTTAGTATTTAAGCTGCTTTTCTTGCTCTTTTGTTTACACCAATTCATTTCTCTTTCTCTCTTTTTTCTCTCACAATTCAAGCAGGGAAAACTAAAAAAACTTAGGTAATTTGATTAAATTTCGTCGCATGTTATGTTTTCATTCATACCATGATATACCCTATTAGTCTATATTAAGTTGTCACGTTACTAGTTCAGATTAAACTGTTAGCGTGACTATTTAATTTTAAATGGAAGGGGCCAAGGGGCCGAGGGGGTGTCGTTACATTTGATTACTAACGCGTTTTTTCATGTGTTGATACAGGATCAAGGAAAATGGTGAATATATGCTGCATTGGAGCAGGGTATGTAGGGGGGCCAACAATGGCAGTGATAGCCCTGAAATGCCCTTCAGTTAAGGTGGTTGTAGTGGATATCGCGGTTTCGAGGATTAATGCTTGGAATAGTGATCAATTGCCTATCTATGAGCCTGGCCTTGATGAAGTGGTAAAGCAATGCAGGGGAAAGAATCTGTTTTTTAGCACTGATGTGGAGAAGCATGTAAGGGAGGCTGATATTGTGTTTGTTTCTGTTAACACTCCTACCAAAACCCGAGGGCTCGGGGCTGGTAAGGCTGCCGACTTGACCTATTGGGAGAGCGCGGCTAGGATGATTGCTGATGTCGCGGTTTCTGATAAGATTGTGGTGGAGAAGTCTACTGTTCCGGTGAAGACTGCTGAGGCTATTGAAAAGATCTTAACTCATAATAGTAAAGGTATGTTATTTTTCTTGTAAATTAGTTAAAATGTTGTATTCGTCTAATTGTCTATGCTAACCAAGAAAATTTTAAAATTGTCAAGCCGTGTTAGTTTTACTTTTCGATCATTAAATTCAAATTAGATACGAAATACTTCGTAGTATTTATTATATGTGACAAAAAACACTAGTAAATGGATAGATACAACTTTGATTAGTAAAAAGTAATGTCTATTCCAGATAAATTAACAAAAGTTGGTTTAGTAAAAAGAATTAAATCAACTGATTTTGACAATTGAATTAGGTAGTTTCTATGGTTTATTGGGCTACTACATACTCTGCTAGCATTATTGTCCTATGTCTTTCTGCAAACCTAACCGTACCCATGGTCCCATGGCATGAACAACATTAAATAAATTATACATCATGGAAGAATAAATGTTGTATATATCTTTAAGTTTGTTGTAAAATTTTAGAAAATAATACTTAATATTCGAGATTGAATTACATGTGTATAATATTTTTTTTTTTTTTTAAGGTAAGTGGTTGAATTAATATTTTATTTTAATTACAAAACAATATAGCTCAAAAACAAAGAGAAGTTAAATTTTGAATGTAGTATAGTAATTTACACTTTGTCTTGGTATTTTGATACTTGTTAATGTACGCAAATTAGATCATGGACACATGTAAACGGAATCACATTGTGACAATGGATTTATTATGGTAACAGGAATAAAGTTCCAGATTCTATCAAACCCAGAATTTTTAGCTGAAGGAACTGCAATCCAAGACCTGTTCAACCCAGACAGAGTCCTCATAGGAGGCAGGGAAACCCCTGGAGGCCAAAGGGCCGTACAAGAACTCAAAAATGTGTACGCGCAATGGGTGCCTGAGGACAGGATCCTAACCACTAACCTATGGTCAGCCGAGCTGTCTAAGCTCGCGGCTAATGCATTTTTAGCCCAAAGGATTTCATCGGTCAATGCTATGTCCGCGCTATGTGAGGCAACGGGTGCTAATGTGTCACAAGTCTCCCATGCAGTTGGTAAGGACACAAGAATTGGACCAAAATTTTTGAATGCTAGTGTTGGTTTTGGAGGGTCATGTTTCCAAAAGGACATTCTTAACTTAGTGTACATTTGTGAATGTAATGGCTTACATGAGGTCGCGAATTATTGGAAGCAAGTGATAAAGATTAATGATTACCAAAAGAGCCGGTTTGTGAACCGTGTTGTTTCATCTATGTTTAACACCGTGTCTGGCAAAAAGATTGCAGTTCTTGGTTTTGCATTTAAGAAGGATACAGGGGATACAAGGGAAACCCCTGCTATCGACGTTTGCAAAGGTTTAGTTGGTGATAAGGCGTTGTTGAGCATTTTCGATCCTCAAGTGACCGAGGAGCAAGTTATGAGGGACTTGGCTATGAGGAAGTTTGATTGGGATCATCCGGCTCATCTTCAGCCTATGAGCCCTACCGCGACTAAGGAAGTGTCCGTGTGTTGGGATGCTTATGAGGCTACTAAAGATGCTCATGCTGTTTGCATTTTGACAGAGTGGGAAGAGTTTAGGAATTTGGACTACAAGAAGATTTTTGATGGTATGAGGAAGCCTGCATTTGTGTTTGATGGTAGGAATGTTGTTGATGTTGATAAGTTGAGGGAGATCGGATTCATCGTTTACTCGATTGGTAAGCCTTTGGATCCATGGCTTAAGGATATGCCTGCTTTGGCATAGCGCCTTTGCTAATTTTGGTTGCACCATTGGAGGGCTGACTAGCCTAGCTAGCTAGCTCCTCCAATTAAGTGAAGGAAGATCAGTCATTGTTATTCATTTAATTTGTTATCAAGTTGTTATTATTATTATTTGTCATTTTGGCTTTTGGATTATCATTGAAATCTAATTTACAAACTTTTTTGCATAAACCATAGAGATCATATACTATTCTCTATGCATGTCAAGCATTTGAATGATTTTATATTTTTTTTATTTGAGCTATATAAGTTAAGTGTCCTGTTTTCTTTCTTTCTTTCTTTATTTTATTTTATTTTATTTTATTTTATTTGAATTGATATAATGTGATCATCAAATTATCAAATTTTGAGAAATAACAAGTTCACAATAGATATTTAAATGTTATGAACAAAATAAAAGTCATTCATTTCCTCTTTCAAAAAAAAAAAGAAGTCATTCATTTCCTTGCCCTTCAAAGAAGTGCACATTATGAACAAAAATAAACGTCACAAATGTTGTGAACTAGTTAGGATAAGATAATGTCAACCAATTTTATTTTTTTTTAACTTCAAGGGTAAATCCGTTACTTAATAATGTGAAAGGTACATTAGCCTCTAATTAAGGCCGTTTTCAGCCTCTCTTTTGATATTACCTTGCTGGTAGTGAAAAGTTCATTAGAACTATGTTAAAAAACATTCATATACATGAACTCGTTGATGTGATTGAAAGTGGAGGGCCCATGTTACGAAAGATGCCACAATAGATCTTTGGTATAATAAGAAGTGTACTTATTAACAATATTGCCACTAGATTGACAAATGTCAATCATAAAGATTAACATGTATTTTCTCATCCTTTTGGATGCCATTGTTGGTCAATTATAATGTTTTGAACATTTGTCAATAAGATCCTTGCAATTTGTAAGTAAAAGCATGATAGGTATCAGATTATTCTTACTTTTCATATGTTGATTTTATCTAATATTTTTCTTAAAATTTGATTTTGTTGTGATTTCCACATAGTGTGCGAACTCATTAGCATGAAAATCAAAATTCCAAGCTTTAGAGTACTGATTATTGTTTTAAAGTTTACTGGGTGTGTTTCGGGGTTTTCTGATGTCCTGCGGGAGAGTTACAATTCCGAGACTGGAACCGGACGCCTGTACCTGCAAAACAACGGAGACTCCTGGTGGTGGGAGCTCCGCCTCCAACGGTCAAGTTAGTACTTGATTAAGGAGTAATTAACGCGGAAATTAAAGTGATTGGGTCTCTCTAGGCGAGAGTGTTTAATGTGAGTTTTTAGCGTAATCAGCCTGTAACTCTGTGTGTAATTAATGTGTTTTTTTTTTTTAATCCCCCTTAATGAGGATTAAGGGAGGTATTTATAACCTTGGGAAACGTGCCCATCCTAGGTTTAGGTTAACCTAGGGCTGATTGGGCTTCCCTCGGAAGCTGGGCCTGGGTGGCCGGTTTCTCCATTAGGCATGGAGTATGCCACATGTCATGACATAATAGGTCCAAGGTGGACGAATAAGCGCGTGCCACGTGGCAAGCCCTGACAGTTCCAACTGGGGGACACTTGGCAGGACCTGATTGGCCCACGTGGCGCATTCCGATTGGTGGGAGCAAAATCCCCTAATCATTTGCCCCTCACAGGTGGCACGTGACTGGTCACATGTTACCTGTGACAGGTGTCGCACTGTAACAGGCGACGGCCTGCTACAGGTGTCAGTCGGCGAAAGGCCGAGAGTTTTTCCCGCCCAAATTTTGAATTCTGAAAGTGACCCTTCGCCTTCTCACTTCGCCTATATAAGGGAGAGTTGTCTTGAGTCATTTTCACACTTGAGAACTTTGTGAGAGAACATTCGGACCCCTGAACTTGCTCTGACATTTTGGACCTTTTCTGCCTACCGCCTGTTCTGACAAGCCGACTGCACAGGATTTTCAGCACTTCATCAATCGTCACTCGTTCAGGTAACTGTCGGTTCTCTTACTCTTAATTTTCTTTTTATTTTTTGAAATGGCACCACGGAAGCACACGACACGACCTAGGTTAGTGATCAGCCGGTCACCGGGGACGGCTGAATCTAGGACTAGGAGTGCCGCCTGCCCTTTTCCGGACCCATCTTTTCCCTTTATACAAAGTCTGACTGTATCTGTGTCTATGCAGAGCAGGATGGCCAGAACAAAAAAGACTGCTAGGATCTCAAATTCAGACGGCTCCTCCCACAGGGTGCCGATTAGTGAAACATCTGACCAGGCGCCAGATGTGAAAGTGAAACAAGGCGGCCTGAAAGCCGGCAATTCTGAGGGAGGAGTCATAGTGACCCCTTCCCATTTTACAGTTAACAATTCTGCTCCTTTTCAAAGAGAGGAGGCGGGCCCCTCCGGGAGAGGGGAGGAGTCGTCCTCTTCGGACTCGTCAGAGGGCGATTCCGAGTCTAGCTCTTCTGGTCATCCTTCTCTGGACACAGAAGAGAAAAACAGCCGCCTGCAAGAGGCGAGGCTTTCTCACGCAGTTGAGAAGGGGGACAATTGGGCGGAGCCATCCGCCTCTTACCGAGAGCAAAATACCCCCTACTACTGCACGGTACCTCGGGGCCGGATCACAGCCATGCAAGAGAAAGTGGAGAGCTTTATTGCAAACCACACCATGGGCCCCGACTTTCTAGTGTTTGTGCCGGATCCAGAAGACACAGTCGTCTGGCCGGCTGGTACCAGTTATGATAGCGCCTGCTTTGGCTGCTACGAGGCGGCCATCAAGGCAGGGCTGCGCTTCCCATTACATCTGGCTGTTCAGCGGATCTTGGATGGGTATGAGTTGGGGTTATGGCAGTTAGCCCCAAACTCCTGGGTCAACGTACTCGGCTATGTGGCCGGGTACGAACTGCACGGGGTGGAGCCGAGCTTCGAGGCTTTCGCCCATATGAACTATCTCAGCCGGACCCCTAAGGCAGGCGGTACCGGCTGGTATCAATTGACAAGCCACAGGGGCTACCTCATGACGAGAGGTAAAGCAAACAAGTGGAAGGACTGGCGGAGCACCTTCCTCATCATTGAGAGTTCAGACACTGAGCTGAACAAGCGCTTCAATAGGTGGAACAGGAATCCGCCCCTTCTTGCAGGCGGCCGTAGTATGCCGCCTGTTCCCCCCAAGGCTAAGAAAGAGATCCTTGATAAAGGACTCTTTAAAGTAGAGTCGAGGGTCGACTCTACTTCAGGGGTACGAGAGCAAGTACCCCTGCACTGCGTCCCGAGCTTCAAATGGCTCTACGACGAGTAATTTTTGGCCGCCTGTGGCCTCAGCAGTCGGTGTTCAAGAGGTAGTCGGCCTGTCGAATACTCTGTTGTTCCATACATTTCTTGTTATGACTTATTAACTTGCTGTTTGTTTTTGCAGCTGACGCCATGAGCAAAATCACCGCCTCCAAGACTGCGGCGGCCATGTTGCGGGCCTCCATCATGCAACAAGCTTCAACCGACTCCCCCAAGAAGGGGGCACCCTTGGTGAGCTCCGAACTTTTCACCCTCTTTTTGGAGTTGTGTTTATGCATATACTGACTTTTTTCTTCTTTTTTAGACGGGTGCTCCAAGAGCTTCATCTTCCCAACAGCCGGACCCCAAGGCTCGGAGGACGACTGTTGCGAGCTCTCCTGGTTCTGCCAGGAAACATGTGGCGGCTGAGAAACAGCCGGCCAATTCTTCTAAAACTCCAACTGGGCCGCCTAGAAGTATGAAGTTGTCCTTGTAAATTTTAGACTTGATCCCTTTTTTACTAGGTCTAATCCGTTTGTTTATGCTTGATGCAGCCGGCCCTCAGGAGCCTGACTTGGTAAAGGTGGTCAAGTCTATGATCAGAGCCGTTCCTCCAGCTGAAAGGGAGGCGGTCAGGGGCGTCGGCACCCTTGACCTAGACGGGATTGCAGGGGTCCTTGCTGAGGTATACTTAGCATATTTTTGAATATTTGAATTTCTGGACGCCTGTTTTCTTTTTTTTGTTTGGAAACTGACGCCTGTTTCTTTTTACTTAGGCCCTGCTCCGAGTGAACGGCCTTCGCAAGCCGCTTGACCGGAAGAACAAAGAGGTAAAGGCTGCAAAAGCTATGGCCGCCTCCAACTGTGATAAGGCAATGTTTCAAATTGCCCAAAATGAAGTTCTGACCATTTATATTCTTTATTATCAGGCGCAGGCTACCGCCGCTATTCGGGCTCAGTTAGAGGCGGCCCAGAAGAGGAATGGCGAGCTGGAGGCGACCATCACCAATCTCAAGGCCGAGCTGAAACCTCTTCGCCTAAAGATGTACTCATACGAAGCCTTGGAGAAATCCTTGGCCAACGTAAAGGAACGCCTGGTGACCCAGGAGAAGAGTCTTACCCAGGAGCCCTCGGAAAAGGCCGAGCAAGAAAAGAAAGAGCTGGTCCGGGAGATGATGGAAGACTCCGCTCAAATCCAGCGCATGACTTGGGGCCGCCTCTTCCCCAATGCCGACTTTGCCTCATGGGAAAAAACGTACCGCCAGTGTTCTGATACATATAATCAAGAGATCCTGGCGGCTGCTGAGGAAGAGGCGTTGGAGGAGGAGGAGCCGGTAGTGGCGCTTGTGCCGCTTGGGGGTAATGCATAAAAAAAGGATGCAGCTGAAGCCGAGTCCAGCAAGAAGAGTGCTGACCAGGCGGCAGCTGCTAATATTGAAGATCTGCCCCCTTCTTAAGCTTTATGTATTCTTTCCACGGCCTGCGTGCCGTTTGTTTTGTATTTACCCGGCCAGGGGGCCGGGGCTTTGAATACTTTGTCGGTCTTTAATGACCGGCTTTTTTTTTTAATAAATTTTTGTTTTGCTTCAAATTTGTCTAAGTATTGAATATTCTGATATCCAATTGTTCACTATACCGACTGTTTTACATGGCCGATAGTTGCAGACAGGTACGGATAGTTAGTCACGCCGCTTATGCCCCTGGACGACTGGTTGTCTGTTTCCAGGATAGACGATCAGTCGGCCATTTATCCAATCGGTATTCGAACTATTTTAAAGACTGGATCCTTTTTAGGCAGGCGGTCCTGTCATTTGTAAATTTAACCAAGTAGGAAAGTGGTCTGACCAAGTGAACATGATTGTTACTTAGTTGCCAAGGAACTGAGTAGTAGAGGTATCAAGCGGTGGGTACCGGTTGTTCCCCTTTATTCGCCGATGTTTGTTGGCTTTTAACTCATAAGTTGTTAACCTAGCAGGAGTAGTGGTTGAGAGCCCCTGTTTGCTAAAAACAGGCGGACGACTCATACCTTTTAGGCTC